GCTCCTGCCCAGATGAGTCACCTGTGTGATGGTGGCCAAAGGTGATGATCTATTTCCATCATTCCTTCCTCATTTATTAGTTGCTGTTCTACTGTGAGGAAGAGCTTTCCCTTCTCCCCCATTTGATCGATTCGTTTACTTTTTCATGGCAGTATGGATGTATGGCTTCCTATTTTATTCAAAGGATCACAAGTCCATTACTATCATTACTTATCTTGATTTAACCAGTAGGAACCCCTTCAAACTGGCCCTGATGTGCTTGACAAATCCATATCAGTCACTGTACATTTCCTTACTTTTGGGCACAGTTACATGTTCCAGGCCCAGCCTGTATTTTCCCTGCCCTGGCCCTGGCATTAGCCCTTTCTCCAAGGAGCACTGGCTTCTTTCACTGAAGAATGATATTTAGAGACCAAGAGGTGCTCAGTGTGTTTAGTGATACTGGTATGTCACTGCTTTTGGGTCCTCTCAGTGGACAATGCTATGAAATATGTTTATTTATCTATTCATTCTATGTTGATGCATGTTTGCATTATTTTCACAGTAAGTATTTTATTTTCATTGTATTTATTTTTGAGGCTGCCAATTTTGGGCAAGTGATACTGATTTTCTATTTATAGTATTCATACAGAGGTTCCTTTTTACATAAATTTAAGTAAATTGAGTCAGTTTAGAAAAAAGTACTAAGTAAATAATATATCAGTTGGTCTGTGTAGGTAAAGGCAAAATTCATCAGTATGGTACAGAAAGGACAGAAGTCTAGGGTCTGTGTAAAATGTAACACTGAATCCTGCTGACCAGAACACTTGGTGCATCCCCAAAGCTGACACTCAAGGCCACTGTCATGGATCTCTGCACTGCCCTCCAGCCTCAGTCCCCACCCCTCCCAGCTTCCCATTTCACACTCAAGTCCTATTCAACTGCCTATGGCTCAGGCTTCACCCCCAGACCCTGACGTGTGTGTACGTGTGTGCCTGCACGTGCGCATGCATGCACACACACACTCCAGCTGGCTAACTTTTCCCGTCTTGAGATTTCCAGTTGTGACTGCCTTTAGGAATCTCTTCCTAACACACACTCCAATCAGGGATAGATGCCACCCACAAGTCCCTAAATCCATACCCACACCTCCACTGTGTTATTAATAGCATCTGGGCACTTGACTACCCCAGGAGACAGTGAGCTCCTCTTGGGCAGGAGCCACAGCTCATTCCAGCCTCCAGCTTAGCTCTTGGAGGGGCTTAGACAATGTGTGTTGGGTGAACAAATGTATACATAATTTTTGGTTTAAATTTTTGTCCTTTCTAAAGTGTAAACAACACCAAGGTCAAGGGTTCGGATCCCTGTACTAGCCCACTGCCAATAAATAAAGAAATAAATAATAAAGTACAAACACATAGAAAGCTGGAAAAGCAGCATTTTCAGTTACACTAACTCAATCGGTTACAAGGGAACAACAGCTACTGTGGTACAAAACCAACAGAGATATTTTGAGATTAGGAATGGGGAGATGGGAGTAGATTGATGAATCTTCAACAGTAGGAATGGTTGGCCCTACTTATTCTAAAAAAAAAAAAAAATTTTACATTTGCTAGAATAAGTTGAAGTGAATTGAAAATCACTGTTGACTTTTAAGTGAGGAATAATCTTTCTCAGAAAAACAATTATAGTCCTTGAATCCAGTTATTAGCATACCATTGTAAATAGCTTTTATTCCCTAAAACATTCTATTTCTTTGAAATTTCAGCATATATTTCCATTTCTATAGCTAATGCACACACAATCATTGCATTATTTCCTATATGAACTGATATTTCCTGTATGAACTGATATTGCCTATGAAGTCTGTATTGACTTTGATTTTAAATTGCTTGGTTGGTTTCCAGCCAGCTTATGTGAACTAGGGAGTTTATTAAAAATTCCTATTCCTAGGCCCTGTCCTTGGAGACTGGGATTCAGCAGGTCAGAGAGGGGCCCAATCATGGGGATTCTTAAAATACTCTGAGAATTGTGATACACCACCAGTTTTAGGGACCACTGGGCATTTTCCTAATTTCTAGAGGTTTTTGTTTTGTTTTGTTTTTTTCTTTTTCGTCCACCTTAGAGGTCAAGTGAAGGCAATTAAATCAGGTAAGCTGCCTATAAGTATAAGCAAAGCAAATTGCTCTAACTGCTATGAGATGCAAAGTAAATAATTTTGGTTATACTGTGTAATCTGTGTGATACCTTCACATTCTTTCAACTTGAACTTTAGTCCAGGAGAAGAAATAATATTTTCCCATCCCAAACAGGTCAGTATAATTATGGTTGTATATACTGTAAGCTTCAACTAATTATGTAACTTTCCATTATTGTACTGCATTTTGAGCAAATTACTGGCCTCTGATCAATAAAACTTAAGTGTCTATAAATTGAAACCAAGAAATGAAAATTCTGATCAATGTCAGTATAATTATGGTTGTATATACTGTAAGCTTCAACTAATTATGTAACTTTCCATTATTGTACTGCATTTTGAGCAAATTACTGGCTTCTGATCAATAAAACTTAAGTGTCTATAAATTGAAACCAAGAAATGAAAATTCTGATCAATGTTTAGCCAGAACTACTTACTCTAAATCTCCTGAAAAAGATAATAATTACTGAGAATGTAGATGTCCTATTTTTGGACCTTACTTGTCATGCTTATTTTAATATATGAAAAGAGTTACTTTTTACTATTATTCTTTTCTTTTGCTTCCAAAAAAAGAGACAAATATGTCATGTCTGGTCACACTATTAACCAGAGACACAGTGGGGGGATTGCTATAATTTTATTTCATAATTCTCAAAGGATTTGTTGTTTTTCCTTCTCTTTCTCTCTCTTATAGCTTGTTGTAAGGAATTCTAAATATGAAAATGTAAGCAACAAAAAGTGTGTTTACTCATGGTTATGTATATGCAGCATAGTAATAATCTAATGAAATTGATCATTGTGATGTGTGTTTCCTCTTTTTCTGGAAAAGATATTTTCAAAAATCTGAAATATATGGTAATTGCCCATCGCAAAAAATTTAAGCATTAAGAGAAATCACATCAAAAGAGAAAAGAATCATTCGTATACCAGCCTCCTATCAAGTCGGAAATATTTCTTTTTCCTTGTTCCATTTCAGTTCATGTCCACACATTATTTTTACATAGTTATAAACGTGATAGATCCATCGTCTTTTGCTCATATTATCACTTAACCTTAGCTGCATTGTCGTGATGTTGCTACAGAGTCTTCATAATTATTTTAAATTCTGTGTAATATTACATTGGGTAGTTGTACCCTTGTACTCTTGGACTTTATCCAAATAGGAATGTTTACATTGTTTACAGCTTATAAAATGGAGTTTCATTGTTGACAAAACCTGAACTTCAAATGAGAGAGTGTATGGATTGACCCTGGATCTAGTATATAAATCATCTGATTACATTGACCATTTAAAATGATCATTTCCTCATGGAATTGAATTTGCCAAACCTACTTGTGCTTGTGAGTCGGCATGTCCAGTATAAGCAATGTGACACCTCATCCCAGACTTACTGATTTCCTGCTTGCTACCGTTATCTTATGAAATTTCACTTTGGTTTCCCTGTTCATGTGACCAGGAATCCAAGGAGCTCAGCACTAGGATGGTGAATGAGTTGCATCAAGGGATTCAAGGCATTAGAGGTCCTAAGACCTGAAAAAAGAATGGGTCCCTCTTTACTCCCCATAATCTCTCTAGTTAAACGTCTAATACGAATATATTAATTCAAGAAAATTCAACAAATTTCTGAGTTTTGCCATATGGCTACTTCAATTCTTGTTTTGTTTTGTTTGGAAATATCAAATTATTTCAACATTTATTGTGGTTTTTTTAGAAGGTGGGGGCCACCTTACTTGGTTGTACCTTAAGCAATTATTTCCTCTTTTCTTGGGTAACTCAGCAATTGCTAACAGAATTAGGCTGAGTGTTCATAGAAGAACATTTGCTCTGCACCCCACAATTTTTGATCATGAAGAACAAACAAAAATATTGTCTTATCAACTCAGAGCTGCCTAAATTTTTCATATGAAATCCCACCATCATTTTATATGATGTGGGTTCCTTTAATCTAATTAATTCTATCCTGGTAACACACAGGCTACCAATAGAGAGTTGAGAAATCTGACTGACTTAAGCATGTTTTGAACTGAAGTCATCAATTCAGGGAGATTTTGAAGGAAGAATGGGGATTTTGAAGAGCAGACTGTACACTATCAACAAAAGGCTTTTCCCGTGCAGTAAAGCTACCAAACGGAAGGTAGTCTTTGTTACTCAGGATGTGATTAATATTGCCTCATCGTTTAATTTTAGAACTTCTAAAATAAGGAAGCTTGCATCAGTTCAAGGCACATTGTTTAAAATCTGAATGCCTACTTTTTCTTTTCTTTTTTTTTAATTACAGAAGTAATATATGTTTTACAAAAAGTTTGGAAAATAATGAACTAAAACAAGTCTCCAGTAACCTCTTTACCTTGACCAAAACCTCTGCTAATATTTTGTGGTAGTTCCAGCCATTTTTTGTTAGGTACCTTAAAAAAAATTTTTGTAACAATGTTTTACATATTATTTGAATCTGATTTATTTCACTTAACATTACTTCATATGTTACAGTCTTCATGTCAGTTGTAATTTCTGCATAATTCCATCCTTTTGATATTCCATTATTTTCCTAATTATGTTCCCTTTTATTGGGCATTTAGAATGCTTACCTGTCGATCCTGTACACAATGGTAGTTATCAAGATTCTTGTCTACACCATGCTAGCGTTGCTCACACAGATCGTGGAGGTGAACTAATCCTGCTGTGATTTGCCTTTTTCAAGCAGGATTGTGCATTTTTTTACTGAATTATTTTCTGCCTGTTTTCTTTTTGTTTTTGTTTATTTGCGGGGAGGGAGCTGGTCATGATCTACTTCATAGGTTGGCGTTTTTGTCTTTCTTTCCTCAGTGGTGAAAGTGGTGCTGGAAAGACAGTGGCTGCCAAATACATCATGAGTTACATCTCCAGAGTGTCTGGAGGAGGCCCCAAAGTCCAGGTGAGCTGCTCATGGCGCATTTTGAGAATTTATGCTATGTGCAATGTAAGAGGCTCTATTTGCTGTTTAAAAAGTAATTTTTTTCCCACAGAAAAGACATTGGTTCTATAACCAAAAATCTTGAAATCTGCAAAGAAATAGCATATTTTGAGATAGACATGCCTAATATATAATGATGTTGTACAAATCAATAAAAAGGTGAACAGTCCAAAAGGAAGATAAACAAAGAACATGAAAGACAGCTCATAGAAAAGGAAATATAAATGACTCATAAAACATAAAAATATGCTCACCTTCCTGATAAGAGAAATGCCAATTAAAACTATACCAAAAAACTATTTCTTTACGTATCATATCAGCAAAAATATTGTAGTATTTTAAACACTTTGTTGGTAAGAATTTAGAGACAGTCATTTTTGTATTTGCTGGGAGAAGCATGAACTAGTCTACTTTTGTGGAGGGCATTTTAGCAAAATCTATCCAGTTTATATGCACACACCATTTGATTCAACAATTTTGCTTAAGAGAAGTTATCCTTTAACTGCTGATAAATATGCAAAATGATATACATTTAAAGTTATATGTGCCATTTTTGGTAATGCAAAAGACTGGAAACAACTAAATACTCATCAACAGGCAAATGGTGAAATAATTTATGGTACATCATATAATAGAATATTATACAGCCGTAGAAAAAGAGGCTTCATGTACTGATATGGAATGATTGCAAAGATAGATCATTAATTGCAAAATGCAAGGTTCAGAACCTTGTGTATAATATGCTGCCATTTGAGGATATCAACAAGCAAATGGTGAAATAATTTATGGTACATCATAGAATATTATACAGCCGTAGAAAAAGAGGCTTCATGTACTGATATGGAATGATTGCAAAGACAGATCATTAATTGCAAAATGCAAGGTTCAGAACCTTGTGTATAATATGCTGCCATTTGAGGAGAAAAGAACATGTATCAGTATTTGTTTGGATATATGTCATGTATCCCTAGAAGGATACCAAAAAAACTGGGAACAATGGTTGTTCTCGGAGAGGGGAGCTGGTAGACTGGGAGAAGTGTGTACTTTTCCTCTATACCATTTAGAAACTTTTATGTTTTGAACTATGTGAATAAATTGTCAATTCAAGAAATTTATAAAAAAATTCAAAAGAAAGAGAGAAAGAAAGAAGGAAAGATTATCAAGTATAAAGGAAATATTAGGAAAGGGAGAAGACCCAGAGAGTCAGGATACATGAGAGGTGAAAAGAAAAGGAGAGGAATCCAAGGCGGAGAGGCAACAGATTTAAGAGGAGAATGTGATGAATGGGATAGACACAGCATTACCTGTCTGCAGCTTCACTCACTGGAATAGCAGAATCACCATCAGCAAGAACAGGGACAGCCCCGCTCACAGAGAGCACTGGCTGATGGTGGTGGTCAGCTGAAGTACACAGGGGCTGCCCAAGCTCAGAGTGCTCATCACTGGCACATGGCACACACTGCTGGTGACTTTTTTTTTTAAATTGGAATTCATGCTCCAAGGTAGAATTCATTCTAAAGATTAATTTTTTAAAATCAGAATCATTTAATAAGGAATGTTATTGCCGTGGTCAGGTGTAGACTTTAAAAACACATTAATCTTCTCTTTATTGTGGTTCTGTGTACTAATTAAATAGTGCTCCATCATGTGCTCGTGGAGGGTCTTAGAGTGGCCTCTTTCTCTGAATAAAAGGAAGATCTAGCGCAGCTCTGTCCAGCAGAAAGATGATGCAAGCCACATATGTAGTTTTAAATATTCTAGTTGCCACATTTTAAAAGAGTAAAAATAAACAGATGAAATTGATTTTTAAAATATATTTTATTTAATCCAATATATCTGAAATATTATTTTAGCGTATAGTCGATATAAAAAAAATTAATGAGATATTTTACATTCCTTTTTTTGTACTAAGTCTTTGAAATCCAGTGTGTATTCTCCAGTGACGGCGCATCTCAGCTGGACTAGCCGTGTTGCTCCATAGCCATACGCGGCTTATGGCTTCCACAGTGGGCAGCGCGTGCAGCTCTAGAGCCTGGGCTGGTGTGGTTCAGTCCACCCACTTCTCTCCCTCCACGTGATCATACCCTTGTCTTTAGAGGGTTGACACGGAGACAGGGATCCAGGATGCTGCCTAATCAGTGGTCTGCTCTTTAATTTACTCTTTCTCTTTTCCCTGATTGCTCACCACATGCCACCAAATTGTGTTGGATGTCACTGAGAGTTAATAAATAGATGTGGATAGATGGATGGATGGATGTATAGATGGATGGATGAATGGATGGATGTATAGATGGATGGATGGATGGATGGATGGATGGATGGATGGATGGATGGATGGATGGATGGATGCTGGCACATGGCACACACTGCTGGTGACTTTTTTTTTTTTAATTGGAATTCATGCTCCAAGGTAGAATTCATTCTAAAGATTAATTTTTTTTTTTCCTTTTTGTCTTTTTTCGTGTCCGGCAACGGACCGCAACCCTCAGTGTCGCGCCCGTACTGGACCGGGACTGGCAACGGGATCGCAGCCCTCGGCATTGCTCCCGCGCCTCGCTCAGCCAGTGAGCGGGAACCGGTCTGTATGTGGGATCCGAACCCTCGGCGGGAGCACCGCCGCACTCCCAAGCGGCGCCCTGTAGCAGTGCGCCATCGGGCTGGCCCTAAAGATTAATTTTTTAAAATCAGAATCATTTAATAAGGAATGTTATTGCCGTGGTCAGCTGTAGACTTTAAAAACACACATTAATTTTCTCTTTATTGTGGTTCTGTGTACTAATTAAATAGTGCTCCATCATGTGCTCGTGGAGGGTCTTAGAGTGGCCTCTTTCTCTGAATAAAAGGAAGATCTAGCGCAGCTTTGTCCAGCAGAAAGATGATGCAAGCCACATATGTAGTTTTAAATATTCTAGTTGCCACATTTTAAAAGAGTAAAAATAAACAGATGAAATTGATTTTTAAAATATATTTTATTTAATCCAATATATCTGAAATATTATTTTAGCGTATAGTCGATATAAAAAAAATTAATGAGATATTTTACATTCCTTTTTTTGTACTAAGTCTTTGAAATCCAGTGTGTATTCTCCAGTGACGGCGCATCTCAGCTGGACTAGCCGTGTTGCTCCATAGCCATACGCGGCTTATGGCTTCCACAGTGGGCAGCGCGTGCAGCTCTAGAGCCTGGGCTGGTGTGGTTCAGTCCACCCACTTCTCTCCCTCCACGTGATCATACCCTTGTCTTTAGAGGGTTGACACGGAGACAGGGATCCAGGATGCTGCCTAATCAGTGGTCTGCTCTTTAATTTACTCTTTCTCTTTTCCCTGATTGCTCACCACATGCCACCAAATTGTGTTGGATGTCACTGAGAGTTAATAAATAGATGTGGATAGATGGATGGATGGATGTATAGATGGATGGATGAATGGATGGATGTATAGATGGATGGATGGATGGATGGATGGATGGATGGATGGATGGATGGATGGATGGATGGATGGATGGATGGATGGATGGATGGATGGATGGATGGATGGATGGATGGATGGATGGATGGATGGATGGATGGATGGATGGATGGATGGATGGATGGATGGATGGATGGATGGATGGATGGATGGATGGATGGATGGATGGATGGATGGATGGATGGATGGATGGATGGATGGATGGATGGATGGATGGATGGATGGATGGATGGATGGATGGATGGATGGATGGATGGATGGATGGATGGATGGATGGATGGATGGATGGATGGATGGATGGATGGATGGATGGATGGATGGATGGATGGATGGATGGATGGATGGATGGATGGATGGATGGATGG